ATCTACATAGCACATGGTAATTAATGTACCCGGCTCATGTAACTAACCTTGTTGGATGTTTAATAGCCAGACTCTAAGGTCTATATTAATCTGGTCAGAGGGACTTAAAGGGACAAACTTTTGTTCCTGGCCCTCCAAGGTCAAACACATTCCAGGCGCTATGGTGCATCTCTTGAAATGTCCTGTAACTTTGGAGAGTCACCTGTCTTCTTGTTCAGGGAGGCCATGGAGACCCCAGGAGAGGGACTTGAACCAGCGTCCATTCTGCAAAGAGGAGGGTCAACACAGAGGAAACATTTCCTTCATGCTTCCAATTGAAGCCCTGGTCAAGGAAGACCTTTTGACTTATCATCACATAGATGATGGTAAAAGAAAAGCCTGAGGAGCCAGGGGCTACCCCTAAGCCCATGTGACCCCTGAGGTTCAAGTCCTCATATGACCTTAAGAGTAAAAATAAATTGGTTTATTTGGGCCAACAGTATGGTCTTAAACACCCAAAAGGAAAGTATAACCAAAATTAAAGTCATCAGTATATTTTAAGGGTTCAAGGGATTACACAGCCCAGACATTAGACGTAAGTTCTTTTACGTTATTTAGACAATTATCTCTCACTGACGATTTTGTTCCTAGTAAGACAACATTACTTAGATGTAAGACTTCAAATCTCGGTCTACAATACTGTAGTGCTCACTTACAGCTAAGAGAGGCAACCCACTATTGTTCTAGCCTGAAAAATTAAATGATGGCTAAATTTGTTTTCTCTATCTAGAAGCCTTTAAGAGGTAATTGACACTGATTCTAGCCACTCCAACAACTATCAAAATGCCTGAAAACAAATCCTGAGTCCATCACTCTCGAGTTCAGCCCTGGCAAGAAGGAAAATGAAAAATGAGCTATTACCTTGGTGCTAACCATTGCTCCTTGCCTCTTCAGATATTTTCAGGACCAAATCCAAAAACTAACTCTAATTTTAATCAGCTGTTACTTTCCTTCCCTTCACATGTATACGAATACCTGTCAACCATCAAGGACCCTGTTCAGATGCACGGAGAGACAACCCCTGCTGCCTAGTGGACCCCCTAATCCAGCCTACCCCCCACATTGACCCTGTCCAGCAGGAAGTAGCAAGATGACAATGGCGCCCCCTATCCTATAACACAAAGGCTGGATTATTAGGGTTTCAAACAGCAGCAGCCTCCCCACTCCCCAACAGGGACCCATGGACTTTGGATTTTTCAAGCCTGAAAAAGGGAACTGAGCTGATAAGCACCTTGGCCTTTGAAGTCAAGGGAAGCAGATTCTTCTAAGAGGCAGCCTGCCTTTCCTCTGATCTCCAAAGACAAGATAAGCAGATCCTGCCTGTTAACCAGAGAGTTTAGGAGCTGTTTAGTACAGGAGCTTTTCCCTTAACACTTCCCAACTCACACCCTGGCTGGCAGACCAAACAGAGCGAGCTTTACAAGCCCTGCTTTTCCTGCTTCTCCCCCTTGATTTTTTTCCCAAAAAACTTCCCGTCTTCAGCACCCTGAAGCCCCCGTATATAAGCCCCAGCTCACAATCGGTGGGCAGACATTGTCCCTTCCCTGAAAGGAACATGTCCCATGCAAAATAAAGCTCTATCCCGCTGAGAGATTTATCTGTGTCTTAGTGCCTCATCCTCCATTCGCTCGTTCTCCGCTAACTTTTTACCTATCAGTTAAGAGCACTGACTGTTCTTCCAGAGGACCCAGGTTTGATTCTTAGTACCCACATGGCAGCTAACAACCATCAGTAACTCCAATTCCAGGGGTCCTCTTCTAGCTTTGCATGACATGCCTGCACTTATATGCAGGCCAAATGTTCTTATACATAAATAAAAAATTAAAAATTTTTTTCAGGGGCTGGAGAGATGGCTCAGTGGTTAAGAACACTGACTGTTCTTGCAGAAGAGCAGAGTTCGAATCCCAGCACCCACATGGCAGCTGACAACTGTCTGTAACTCCAGTCCCAGGGGATCCAGCAGTGTCTTCTGACCTCTGAAGGCATTGCACAACACCAGTGCGCTTACCTACATGCAGGCAATACACACATACACATAAAATAAAAATTTAAAAAAAAAATTTTTTTTTTCAATTAAACTTATCTGATGAATCTATTTTTTTTTTTAATTGCAAGAACACAAAACGGGCTGGAGAGATGGTTCAGTAGTTAAAAATGCTTACTGCTCTTGATGCTCAGTTCCCATCACCCATATAAGACTCACAACTGCCTCTAACGCCAGTTCCAGGGACTCCAAAGCCCTGACATCTGTGGGCACCTGCATGTGCTGAGTGCACATAAACTCCCACAGGTATACAGATGCATAAAATTTCCTAAAAAAGAAACATAAGACTTTAACTGTTTTTCAATGTATATCACTATCACCTTTTGCCTCAGAAACAAAGATATCTATGGGTACTTTTTCTGCTTTTACTTCTTAGTAGACATAGTCTCATCATCTTCCATCTAGGGTTTTTGCAAGAACCTTTTATCTTCCTGCTCCTGACTCCAGTCAAACCCATTCCTCCCTCAACCCTGTGCTGTGATCTACCCAAACAGAACCTTACCATATCCTACTCTAAAACCTTCTATTGACTCCTTATTGCCTCTTAAGATAAAATCAAATTTCTTAGCATGCATGGGAGGAATTCCAAGATCCAATTCTCATCCCTCCTAACTTCATTTGGGAACATACTTTACCTCCAACAGAAAGAGCTGGCTGCTTGTACACACTGGTCTTTTTCTTGCCAACATCTACCATTCTGTCCACCTAGAATATTCTGACCATATAAGCAATTTGTTATGACCTCCACAAAAAAATCATATCCTTTCTTCAAATAAAATTGACTAGCCCTATTCAGAACTCTAACACCATTTTTATACTACCATATTTATCTTTTTGCTTGTTTGTTTGGGGGAGTTGGACTTTTTGAGTTTTTATTTTTGTCTAGATAGGGTCTTATGTACCATAGGCTAGCCTTGAACTATGTAGCCAAGGATAACCTAGATTCTAAATCTTCTGATCCTCCTGCCTCTAACTCCTTAGTTCACTCCCTAACTCACAGCTGGGATTGCAGCTGTGACACTGCACTACACTCCTATTTGCTTCGATACTCTAACATGAAATAAATCTGCAAGAGGAATTAAGTCTTTCTACTTTGTGATTACAAAAACTGCACTAGACTTAATAAAGTGCAAAATGTATATTTAAACATATAGAAAACAGCCATCAAATATTACCTGTCATTACTATAATCCAGCAGAACATGGGGGCTCACACCTGTAATCCCTGCACTCAGAAGGCAGAGGCAGGAGGGTCACCAAAAGTTCAAGGCCAACCTGGTCTGCATAGCAGGTTCCATGCCAGCCAGAGCTACATAATGAGACCTTGTCTCAAAAGAAAAAAAAAAAAATCCAATCTGATCCATACTGTTGCCTTGGCCCAGCAATATATGATGCAGAGGAAGAACCCAATGATTACAGTCAGACTTTACTGCAAATGGGAATATCCTCATTCACAACAAATATTAACAGTCCTAGGCCACCTAACTACAAAAGATGGTGAACTCTAGAACTCAGGTCTAATCCTTAAGTCCTGAACTGGTACTATGCTACTGTATACTATCTCCCTATCTTTTGTTGAGAATAGACTTAAGCTTTTTATTTTACTGCTGGGGAAAAAGAAAAATGGAGGGCTGGTAAAGTGGCTCTTCCAGAAGACCTGAATTCTCAGCACAGACTTCAGGCAGTGTAACGGCATCCCAGGGGGTCTGACACCCTCTTCTGGCCTCTGAGGAATCCCAATCACAAGGCATACACTCACCCACACACGAATACACATAATAACAAATCTTAAGAAAAACAAAATCCAGACACAAGTCATTTCCCTATGGCTAATTATAATCGCCATTTCTGGAATCTGCGTTTAAAATTTTTTTTACATTTATTTATTGTATGTGGTGACAACCGACGTGCATGTGGAGGTCAGAAGACAACCTGGGAGACTGCTCTCATCCTTCCACCCTGTGGGTTCAGGGGATTGAACTCAGGTCCTCATACCTGGTGGCAAGTACCTTCACCTGCTGAGCTATCTTGCTGGCCCTGGAATCTGTATTTTTAAGTTTGTTTCAGTATTTCAACCTCTCTACAATTCACTCTCCACGCCTATGAGAAAGGTACTTGAAACACAAATGACCACAAAGCTCTTCCGACTCTTGAGTGCAGTTACATATGGTACTGTTCTTTCACCGTTAATTAGTACAATTAAACTGCGCATCTCTGAAACTAAAGAACAACTGCTGCAAACGAAACGGTAGTCACCTTCACCTAGGCCCGGAGAAACGCAGTAAGCGTTCACCAAGCAAACCAGCATTTTCTCGGACGTGCTTTTAATTTATGCAGCAGCGTGCTACTAGGCCTGGTAATGCAAGCTACTTTTTCGGTGCCGCGGCCCTGAACGCAGCAGGCCCACCTAGAGCCCGGACTAAGTTCGCTCCAGGACAAATTACAAAAGCCATTCTCCAGCGGTCCCTCCTTCCAGTCCTTGGCTAAATTAGGAGTCAACCTCCCAGGCTGGACCGTCCCTCCGAGCTCGAGAGAGCGAAGGCCGCGGCGTCCTTGCCACCTGCTGACCCGTCCAGCGCCCGAATCGGGCGCCTGGTCCCAAGCTAAGATAGGTGCGCGGAGCGAGTGAGTGCGGCGGCAGTCCCCGGCTTCACCAGCCTCCTTACCCACTGCGCGGTGAGGACGGCCGCCTTGGCCCGCAGCGTCAAGGAGAACATGGCGGGCCAAACCGTTCGCCCTTCCCGGCGGCGCCGAGCCCAACTCCGAGCTCGGGACGCACGACGCGTGCGCTCCAGACCCCAGCACGCTGGGCGCGCCGCTCTACGCAGAGGGGCGGGACCGAGGGGCATCACTAGACGCCGCGCGGGGGCTGCTGGGGGCCAGTGGGTGTGACCTGAGCGGTCGAAGCCGTAAATGGCCTGTTCCGGCTCTCCTGGGAGAGTGGAATCCCGAGCCGCCTCTTCTGGGCGATGAGTCACAGACCTGGTTCTCGGGGTGAGCGGCCCTCCTGGAGAGGCTTGTAACGCTTGCGTTAAAACCGTCCATTCGGTTAACTCTTATCTTACAAATTGTGGAATTTAAGACACCAAGGGCTGCCACACAGTGAGCGAAGCATAGACAACGCCTGGGCTCCCAGTCGTCTGCTTCAGAGTGTGTGGATTGACAGGATAGCTGAAATTTGCTTCAGAATACTAGCGAGTGGGAGGTAGAAAGGAAACAAGATTGTGCCCGGTGACTGTTGATGCTGCGCGGTAGTTACTAAATAACTATTCTTGGTACTTTTGTATGCATTAGACATTTTCCGTAATAAAACTGGAGGAAGGAGAAAGCCACTTCCTTCTTGATGTTTTGTTTGGTCATCTCTGGAAATTCCTACAATTCAGTAGCAGCTACTACAATAAACACAGTGCTGTTTCCTGTTACAGAGATTGTAGTTAGGGTCTCATTATGTGATTCTTCTCAGCTGTCAGAGTGTTCAGATTACAAGTGGTTACCACCACCCTGGGCTTTAAGTGCTTCTTGATTTTTCCGTTGGCTTTTTATGTGTGTCACCTCCTGTACCCATCCCCTTTTGTTATAATGAAGTTGTGAATAGTTTTTGGAACTTTGAGAACACCACAAAGATTTTTAAAAGTTGTCACTCATTAATTTTTAAATCTTAAGATAGGGGCTGCAGAGATGGCTTAGCGGTTAAAAGCATTGGGTGCTCTTGCAGAGGATCGGGTTTCAATTTCCATCACCCACATAGCCGCTAACAACCGTCCATAACTCCAGTTCCAGGGGAACCAACGCCCTCTTCTGACCGCTTCAGGCATTGCATGACCCCGGTGCACTCACATACATGTAGGCAACACTCATATACATAAAAATATATATATATATTTATTTATTTATTTTTTAAAAAATAACCTATTGCAACCTGTATGAATCATAGTCTACAAATTGAATTCAAGAGGCAGGGTTTCCAGCCAGTGATACCAAATGCCTTCGTTGCCATTCCTGTGTGTTAGCTTCAATGTTAGCATGCTTCTTCTAAATTGACTTTAGTGTATCTCTCTCTCTCTCTCTCTCTCTCTCTCTCTCTCTCTCTCTCTCTTTATACAAGGTCTCTCTGTAGCCCCTGCTGTCCTGGAACTCACTATGTAGACCAGGCTGGCCTTGAACTCACAGAGAGCCGCCTGCCTCCCAAGTGCTGGGATTAAAGGCATGAACCACCACGCCTGGCCTAGTGTATCTCTTTTTAAAAGGAAAAGATATTGTGACCCTCAATGTTGATTTGTTTTATATATTACCCAAAGTATTATCATCACTGGTAGTATTTTGAAAAAGTTCTCATGTAACCCAAACTGGTCTCAAGATCATTATACAAAGCTGGTCTCGAGCTCATGAATTCATGCCACCTCCTCCCAAGCGTTGTTTATCACCACACTCAGTTTCCCCACATTATTTTGGGTATTTGGGGGGAGGGGGGTGAGACAAAGTCTTTTTGTAGCCCTAGCTGGTGTAGAACTCACCAGGTAGACCAGATGGCCTCAATCTCACAGTGATCCGCCAGTCGCTGCCTCCTGAGTGCTAGGATTAAAGGGCACAACAGGGACTGGAGAGATGACTCTAGTTAAGAGTGCTCTTGCAGAGGACCAGCTTCATTTCCCAGAACCCACATGACAACCAACAACTGTCCATAACTGTAGTTCAAGGGGTGCTCATGCCCTCTTCTGGCCTCTGTGAGCATTGCATGCATAGTGCACTAAATGCAGGAAAAACACACATAAACTTAAAATGTATCATACACAGGGACTGGAGAGATGACTCTAGTTAAGAGTGCTCTTGCAGAGGACCAGCTTCATTTCCCAGAACCCACATGACAACCAACAACTGTCCATAACTGTAGTTCAAGGGGTGCTCATGCCCTCTTCTGGCCTCTGTGAGCATTGCATGCATAGTGCACTAAATGCAGGAAAAACACACATAAACTTAAAATGTATCATACTAAGCTGGGCGTGGTGGCGCATGCCTGTAGTCCCAGCACTTGGGAGGCAGAGGCAGGCAGATCTCTGTGAGTTCAAGGCCAGCCTGGTCTA